TCTTTCCTTTATAAATTACCCAGTCTCGAGTATTTCTTCACAGCAGCATGAGAATGGACTAATTCACAGGAGGAAAATAGCAGTGCATTATTCTATATTTAATTTTATTATAAAAATTGGTAATTTTTTTAGATTATTGTATTGGTAGTGCAATATAACTTATATGTCAATTACAGTACCTTAGGGATACCCTCTTTCCTTCCTCTAGTGGACTATGACAATAGGATTTGAGTAAAGGAATATGCGAATACTTTGTAAAGCATTTTTTCAAACGTGGGTATTTTCACTGTCTTTGTGATTGTCCTTTTGACTCATGTCAGCTTTCTTTACATTCTACAAAAACATTGTACTCCCTTTCTAAATTAAGTTCTGTATAAAGTTTAGCCAAGTTCTCACAGGTAAGTACCTGGAACAATAACTACAGTTATTTTGGCATCCGTAAGTAACAAAATAGTGACTAGCCTTAAGCCACTGTATTATAAGGTAAGGAATGCTGCCTATATCTGAAGCCACATTTTAGCTTATTTGCTCCTTTTGTTTCACCACATTGCTTCTCTAATCGTGAATTTCTTTTTACAATTTCTGAGAGAAGTATTCCTGTGAGTGCTGCCCTGAATTGTATAATGTCAAGACTGTACTCCTTTCTGCCTTTCTCTTGCCCACATTTGGGGCATTTTATAATTTCAGTTTGATGGTAGAGTGGAAAGAAACTACAATTATTTTTACCAGCAGCTTTTCTCTATTTGATATCAAAGTCTATCAAGAGATGAATATAACTTTTATATAAAAATCTCTTCCTAATAAAAATCTGAGCTTTTAGCACTAAAAACAAATTACTTTATTAAAAGCTTTTCTTAAGGGGAAATTATGACATCATGGTCTTTTAGTTGTTAAACCAAATTTAAAAATACTTGAGAAATATAATGTTGAAAGTGTTGAACTGTATTCTTGATTGTAGTTGTCTAAATCAAAGTGCTTTATATAGGTATATAAGATTCTTCTTCTTCTTCTTTTTTTTTTTTTTTGGAGACAGAGTCTTGCTCGTCGCCTGGACTGGAGTGCAGTGGTGTGATCTCGGCTCACTGCAACCTCTGCCTCCCAGGCTCAAGCAATTCTTGTGCCGCAGCCTCCTGATTAGCTGGAATTGCAGGTGCTCGCCACCACGCTTGGCTAATTTTGGTATTTTTAGTACAGATGGGGTTTCTCCACATTGGCCAGGCTGGTCTTGAACTCCTGACCTCAAGTGATCCTCCTGCTTCAGCCTCCCAAAGTGTTGGAATTACAGGCGTGAGCCACCACGCTTGGCCAAGATTGTTATCAGAAGATGTTTCAGACAACTTATGATAAGAGTCTTATATATAACATGTATGAGGTATTAAAAAATACTTATTATTTATGATTCAAGGTAGAGTATTAAGTTTTGGAAACTGTAAAAGAAGCCGTGTTATAAAATAATTTTAGAGAAACTCATTTGGTCTATCCATATTCTTTTGCTTTTGTATATACCAGAAACTAATTGAGATTTTTGGTTCTGAACACCATCAATGACTCTTTAGGGAATCTTTCAGTAGCTCTCGTTTGCTGACTACTATATAGGTTTCCTGTATTTCTTTTGAAAAATTGGTATTGAATGAGAGTCTGACCCTAAGGCATGAGAGCCAGGGGAGGGCAGGGTATTATTAAGTTCTATTTCTGTCTCATCATCTAACATAGTGATTGGAACAGGTTAAGTTATCCATTGATTATAGCTCCCTGCAACCACAGTAGATGTTAAATAGGGTTGCTCAGCGTCCTTTCTTATAAAGAAAAATGAGATCCAGGCTTTGCTACTTTCTGACTTGGGCCTTTGCAAAATCCTTATCCAATCCTTTTTTTATATATATAGAATGAAAATAGTAATAGCTCCTAAGGATTATTTTGTGTGTGCCAAATAAATAAAATAAACTAGGTATCATGCATGGCACTCAGTAAGTGCTCAGTGAATCTTAAGTGCTATGATTACTATTATTGATACTACTGCTGCTGCTTTTATTGCTACTGCTGCTACTACTACTACTACTACGATGATGATGATGATTGTATTAGCATTTTTGGCATCATTTAATTTTCTGAGATATTAAAATTTCCTGAGACATGAATTTTGAGAATCTGTTAAAAAATGCTTTAAAATGCATAAATAAAGTTTTAGATACCATTTCATAGGTGTAATGAACTCCTTAAAGTGTGCTATAGACCATAGGTTTAGAACTCCTTCTCAGAGGATAATGGATACCACTTCAAATGGACACAATTCAGGTGGCAAATACTGGAAAATAGCAACCAATCATACACAGTTATATAAAGACAAAATGCAAATTAGCAAATTAATAGCTTCAGGTGTTATTCCGTTCTCATACTGCTGTAAAGAACTGCCTGAGACTGGGTAATTTATAAAGGAAAGACATTTAATTGATTCTCAGTTCCACATGGCTGGGGAGGGCTCAGGAAATTTACAATTATGGCAGAATGCGAAGGGGAAGCAAGTACCTTCTTCAGATGGTGGCAGGAGAGAGAATTGCCAGCGAATGAGGAAGTGCCATGCTTTAAAAACCATTAGATCTTGTGAGAACTCCCTCACTATCATGAGAACAGCATGAGGGAAACTGCTCCCATAATCCAGTCACTTCCCACCTGGTTCTTCCCTTAAAACCTTGAGATTATAACTCAACATGGGGTTTGGGTGGGGTCACAAAGCTAAACCATATCATAAGGGTTGATTTGGGACAAGGTATTTCTCAGGATAACATTCTCTAACCATTTGCAAATCATTTAATGTGCTTGTTAAATAGCAGAATTCTGGGCCATAGCTCAGGATGACTGAATCATAATTTCTTTGAGAGATTATGAGTCTTCTTGAATACCCTAAAGTTTAAAGTCAAGGAGTTTAGAATGTTTAATACAGCTATCATAGAAAGTGTATGATCTTCTTAACTATTCATACATAGTTAAAGAAGCTTCAAAAACAAAGGATGGAATTTATTTAACCAAAGTGTGGAAAGGGAAAAATAGGCGAAATTACATTGGTAGGTTTTTGTGAATAGTTGGCAAAATGAGTGACGAAGTCTTCTGTGATGGGATCAGATTGTGTTAAACATCCTAGATTTTTCACATAGTAACTTTTGTCCTCTGGGCAAAAATTAGTTACCTTCTCTAATCTATTGTATCCTCATCTGTAAAATGAAGATAATAATAATATCTATAATATAGGCCTGTTGTAAGGACTGAATGAGACAATGTACGTAACACATACTGAAGTCCTCAGTAAATGTTAATTGATTAGAGTTAATTGTCATTATCATCATCATCATCATCATCACTATCATCATCGTTTTAGTGGTGGTTGTCCATACTGTCAATATTCTTAAGGTTTCTTTGCCTGTATAATTCTCACCTACCCGTAAGGATCAAAATGAGGTTCTGCCTTTTGATTATGTTTTTCTAACCATTTATTTATGGGAATCACTACCTTCTGTGCTTTTATATCCTTTAGCAAGTAGTATATAATAAAGATGTTAATATCTACTTTTTTGGTTAATTGATAAACATTTATTTGCTTCCTATTTATCTACACAGAGCAAGTGAATTTTATTTATAAGCTATTGTATTTTAACACAGGAGCTATTTGAGTTACAGGTTGAGTGATCCCCTACTCTGAAAATTCAAAATCTGAAATGTTCTAAAATCTGAAACTTTCTGAGAGCCAACGTGACTCTCAAAGGAAATGTTCATTGGAGCATTTTTGGTTTTTGATTTTCAGAGTGGAGATGCTCCACTGGTAAATATATAATACAAATATTCCAAAATTCAACAAAATCCAAAATTCAAGACACTTCTGCTCCCAAGTATTTTGGATAAGGCATCCTCGATCTGTATTTTGTTTCTGTTTCTTCATTTCACCTGACCAAGATATTTCAGAGAATTTGTTTACTCAGGTAGTTTTTTTTTTTTTTTTTTTTTTTTTTTTTCCTGGAGATGGAGTCTCGCTCTGTCGCCAGACTGGAGTACTGTGGCGCGATCTCTGCTCACTGCAACCTCTGCCTCCCGGGTTCAAGTAATTCTCCTGCCTCAGCCTCCCTAGCAGCTCGGACTACAGACGCATGCCACCATGCCCAGTTAATTTTTGTATTTCTTTTTTAGTAGAGACGGGGTTTCCCCATGTTGACCAGGATGGTCTCGATCTCTTGACCTCGTGATCCGCTCGCCACGGCGGATCACGCCACGGTGCGTGCACCACCATGCCCGGCCTAGGTGGAGACATTTAAACATAAAACTACCTGAGTGAGGCCCGGCCGCGGTGGCTAACACCTGTAATCCCAGCACTTTGGAAGGCCCAGGTGGGTGGATCACCTGAGGTCGGGAGTTCAACACCCGCCTGGCCAATATGGTGAAACCCCGTCTCTACTAAAAATACAAAAATTAGCCAGGCTGATGGAATGCGCCCATAATCCCAACTACTAGGGAGACTGAGGCAGGAGAATTGCCTGAACCCAGGAGGCAGAGATTGCAGTGAGCTGAGACTGCACCACTGCACTCCAGCCTGGGTGACAGAGCGAGACTCTGTCTCAAAAAAAAAAAATAATAATAATAAAGTCTTCGCCTAAATTGACTGTATAAGTTAGATTTGTTTTAAAAAGAAAAATTTTACTCTGTTTTCTAAAGCCAAATATGATTTTTAAAACTGTTTGTTGTTTTTTTAAAAGTATTTGTACATTTACTTTTATTTCTTGTGCTTGACTAATCAAGAATTGACTGCATAAGTATAGTTATAAGAGTTCAGACCATTTATTTTAAATTTGCATCCTTTCACCTCTGAAACACTAAACTATGAAACCTAACACAAATACTGTAAGAACATCTGAGGTAGATAGTTAAAGTATAATTAAGTTTAAATGCCTTGGTGAAGGAGTATAAAAATTATTTAAATTCAATCGGCTAGTACATTTGCAGTTTTCTTTTATTAGGTGTGAAATCTAAGAATCTCCTGCCAACTCTTGAAGGCTCAATCCAGAATGTTGAATTGAAGTACTGCAGCACATCATTGGTCAAATGTGCCTCTGGGACCATGGGATCAATAAAAATTTGTGCCAAAGCCCCAGGTATGTGCAGCTGGACCGTGTAAAACTTTATTGCCTGTATAGGAGAATTGGCCTTGCATTTTACAAGGAGCGTTACTGAAACAAGAATTTACTCATTGTTTCTATGAATCAGACATTTTAAATTTTTACTTAGAAATTTTTCTAATTGTGCCAGGATGATACTTCTTGACTTTAACAAATTAATTTTTATTTAGGCAAAAATACTTAGTTTTATGAATGGTTATGAGGGAGAAAAAGGAATGTTTATTATACTTTTTGGGGGAATAGGAGGTGTGTGTGTGTATATATATGTGTGTGTGTGTGTGTGTATATATATATAAAAGACACTTAAAATTAAATTGTTGTTATTATAATATAATTAAATAGGAGACCCAATTGTTTTTAAATTTTGGTTGCAAATGACTTTACCTTCCTACCAATATTTTATTTCATAATATATTTTTAAAACTATTTATGATTTTTTTCAGTGCAAACTGATTTTAAGGTAAGTTTTTAAAGGTCCAGATTTCATTTAATTTTTAGAAGACAGTGTATTGTTTCCTTTTATAACCTTTTCTGGACATGTTCTGCATTCATTAGCAAATATGAAAACTTAAGAGTTAAAAATGCTTTACATTTTATGAAACTCAGTATAATTAAATGTATAGCTAATATCAAATGAAATAGAAATGTGATATTATGGTGTTAGTATATTTTAAAATCAAACATTCTCAAGTGACTCATGTTTTATTTTTGTTATCGTCTTACAAATATTTCTTTTCAGTTGATAATGGAAAAGAGAAGTTGATTCCCTTGCTTCAGGGTCCTTCCGACACTAAAGACCTTCATGGCACCAAGTGGCTCAATGAGAGTAGAAAGCCAGAGTCTCTCTTAGCTCCAGATTTGATGGCCTTCACAATCCAAGTTCCACAATATATTGACTACTGCCACAATTCTGGTAAGTACAAACCTATCATTATTTCCTTATTTTGCATTTTTTTTTTTCCCAGAAAGGCTTTTAAAATTGGTATTTTTTTTTTTTTTTTTTTTTTAGGTATTTTTGTCAATTGGCTTTCTCTGCAGTTGTGCTTTTTCAAAATTTAGATTAAGAATTTTTGTATCACTTTTGTTAATTGAAATGTGTTTATAAATAATAATGATTTTATTTATATGAGAGAATTTAGCTGTATGTATAGTGGTTAACTTCAGATTCACCTATATAAGGAACAACTGAGTGTTAAAATATAGCATATCATTATAATGCAGACTTTCTAGGGATAGTAGCACTTTGTAACCCACAGTTTGTCATGTGTAAATTAGGTGGTTTTACCTTCTATAATTTTTTAGGAATGAAAAGATTTGATGGTAGAACTGAGAAAAAAATCTCAGAGGTCATTATCTCATATTTTATAGTTTTATTTTTTTCTAGTAGCACTTTGAATAGAATCTATTTCATTTTATTCTACACCGTAATAGCAGAGCTATACCTCTCATATTGAGAGGAGGTATCAGAAGGATCAATGAAGACTGAGACAAGAAAAATGTATGATAGGTAGAGATCACTATCAGCCATGAATTCACTTAGCCAGTATGTGGTTAGCAAAGTCAGGGTATTCAGTCAATGAGGCTAGCAATATGATAGTAATATAGACATTTGTTTTAAAAGATAGGTGGTCCACATTTTCTCTCTAGAAGTAACTGGCCAGTGAGTAGTTTCAAATAGTTGCTTAAGAGTAGAGCTTCATTAACATTATTCAACAACTACTGTAGCTTATAGAAAGTTTGTTCAGCACTAGTATGTTCAAGTAGAAACTATGAAAAGATTTGCAATTAACTGAGCAGAGACTATGTAGAGGTGAATATTGAATAAAGCAGTACACAAGTGAATATATAGAGGGACACAAAACATTTGAAAGATGAATATATTATGGTAATATTTGCAGTTGAGTGGCATCCACACTGAAAACTGGAAATTAGTATTTGAAAGGTGAGTCTAAGGATGCTGTCTGTCAGCATGCTTCTAAGGACAGCACACCTCAAAAATAAGATTTCAGCCTGGTAAGAATGGCTATGAAACCATAAAGAACGAATGACTAGAGGATGACTCCAGGATCCAAAGTAGGGCTGTCACTATGGAGAAAAGATTTTACCAATCTTTTAAGGCAGGGATTGGTAAACACTTTATAAAGGGCCTGACAGCTAATATTTTAGGGTTTATGGCCCATACAGTCTCTATCTCAACTATTTCTGCTGTTGTAGCACAAAAATAGCTACAGACAAGACTTAGGTGAATGGATGTGACTATGTTTCAATAAAGCTTTATTTATAAAAGCAGTAAGTGGGCCAGATTTGGCCTATGTGGTTTGTCTAACATGGTTATAGGAAGAAGGAATTGGTGGATAAATATCATGGCTTTGTTAATCCTATTTAATCATGTTCCTTAAATATATTGTTTAGTAAACTTCTTTATAGAATTACCCATATAATAATTTTTGTTTTCAAATAATAAACCTAAGATGATACTAAAATGACCAGACCATTCAGTTACAATTTTGATACCTAAGAAGAGATTAATCTTACTAGAATCTTGCCACTGAAGAAAATTCTTGAGTTAGACAGGAACTCCTAATACTTGTTTTACCATATATACAATTAAAATAAATTAATAAGTTGAGTGTATTTAAATAATCTGTTCTTCTAACAATATTTATATTATCTTTTGTAATTTAAATGCGTTTCTAGGGTCACAAAATTTTATTTGTGTTTTTAACTTTTTATATGGCTCTAAAAGTAAACTAGTATAGGAAAAATTATCTGTGACACCTATAATATTTATAAAGTTTTAACTTTTTCTTGCTGTCAAGGAAATTCACCTAATCTGCAACATTAGTGTTATGTATAGTGGTATGTTTATGGATTTGTGTGTAAAATTTTAATGTGATCATGTATTTAGTGCTTTGAAAATTTTCCTTTGGGTATGTTTTAAACCTAAAATGTAATATATTTTAACTTAAAACTACATTCACATAGTTTATTTGGGGCATTTTTAAATTTAAATTTTTCATCTACCCTAGAACTGCCACCCACATTCATGGCTTAGGTATTTATGATATGGTTTAGAGAGCTAATAAGTACTATTTTTATGCCAGTTTTAAAATAATTTGGATTAATCTTATGTTCTTATAACAAGATTTAAATTGGGTGTGTATGTGAGTATGACTGATGTTATAGACAAATCATAAGTAAATCTTAAATGAAAAAATTAATAATTCATTAACAGTCCTTCAGGACTTTACTAAAATATTATACTTTCAGCAAGTACTTTCCTGACCATTATATCTAAATTTCTCTCTCTGTCTCCTACACACATATTGACACTTCTTAATTATTTCTCTACACTTCTTTAGTTTTCCTTAGTGCTTATCAGAATCTACCATACTATATATATTAATGATTTATAATGTTGATTGTTTCCCCTGCTATTAGAATTTTATGCTTCATTTGGGCAGGATGTTTTGTGTCTTTTTGGTCACTGCTGTATTCCCAGTGTCTAGACCAGTACCTGGCACATAAGCTAACAATAAATACTTATTGAATGAATAAGCTAGTAACTGATGATTACATTTACTTTTCTTTGGTTTTTGAAGTTGAAGCATCTAATGGAATAGAGACAGAAATCTTTCCAGAGGCTTAAGGGAAGAAAAAGATGTTAGGTGGTTAAATCTTTTAGGTGAACTGTTAAAGGGAAGCATGAGTGGTCTCTGCTTGTGTTTTCACATACAGATAGATGTCTAGGTGAGGTTGTTAATGAACTTTTCCCATGGGCTTATAGAATTTGAATGATGATCATACTAACTGGCTTTTTTAGGGTCATGACATGACGTGTGGAAGACAGCTGCCCCTTGTGCATATACTCAAATTGAGGGGGATGGGTGGTTAAACTGGGGACCAGCAAATGTTGCAGATGCTATGTAAAAGTCAATTAGAAAGTGAGCTTTTAGAGGAGCTAATTACCTAGGCAGCCTTTCGACTGTGATTTGAGAATGTGAGGGAATGGACAGCTTTATTAATGGGGATTTGGAATTATGATGGAAAGAAATATTAATGGTATTAGTAAAACTCATAAAAACAGTACTTTACAATTAAAAAATCACATTTGTGTAAATTATTTTATTTGCCTACAAATCAAAACTGTTTTAGGCAGAGAAAATATAATTTGTGCCTTGCAGAGGAGGAAATAGATGCCTAGAAGTTCAATGACTTGTCCAATTGCCTAGCAAGTCAGACTTTGAACTAGAACTTGGAACTTCTAACTGTACATTTTCCCACCATGTTGGGTGTTGGGCTGTTTATCATTTTCTCTTTTAACCTTAGAATCCACCTCACTGAACACTACATCCTTCAGTCTTAAAAGTTCCTAATGTAAAGGATCTCCTTTTTTACTTTATATTAAGCACTGTCAAAAGAGCCACACTGTCATGATCTTACAGCATTGCTTTGTCTTTGAAGTTTCAGCAATTCCCTTTACACTTACCCCTCTTCCCTCCTTGATTGCATTCTGTACTTGACAAACTCTGATTAACAGCAAAGGAGCTGAATGCTTTTATTAGAATACAATGTGCCAGCACACATTCTGTATTTATGGTTACTACTCAGGGGAACCATTTAATGTCACATTTCTTAGTTTTGTATAGATACAACAGGTCAAATAGGGAAATAGATGCTTCACTGGTTCCTTTGTAGGTAGAAGCACTTGGTGACTATAACTGATATATGTAAAACATTTAAAAATAGGTTCTACCAGGTGCAGTGTCTCATCTCTGTAATACCAGCACTTTGGGAAGGGTGAGGTGGAAGGATCACTTGAGCCTGGGAGGAAGAGGTTGCAATGAGCCAAGATCGCATACTGCACTGTAGTCTGGTTGACAGAATGCAGCCCTGTCTCAAAAATAAATAAAAATAAAAATGAGGCTCTAAATATTTTTCTTCCCCCCCCCTTTTCTTGTTTTTGGAGATAGAACCTTGCCCAGGCTGGAGTGCCGTGGGCATGATCTCAGCTTACTGAAACGTCCGCTTCCTGGGTTCAAATGATTCTCATGCCTTACAGAGGCGCACCACCGTGTCTGGCTAATTTTTGTATTTTTAGTAGAGATGGGGTTTCACCATGTTGGCCAGGCTGCTCTTGAACTCCTGGCCTCATGTAATCCACCCGCCTTGGCCTCCCAAAGTGTTGAGATTACAGGCATGAGCCACTGTGCCCGGACTCCCTTGTCTTTTTAATATAGACTTTGGCTCTTCTTATGCTATATTTTGCGTATGATTCGTAGCAGGTTCTGCTTGCTAAAGAGTTCTGAGTCTTTGTTAATCATGGTATTAATGTGTAAATAAATTTTGGAGTGTCTGCTATTTAGGGATATAAAATGACCATGAATTACTATCAGCTTAGAATCAAAAGAATTTAGGCCATCATTTCAATTTCTTTTTTTTTTTTGAAACGGAGTCTCGCTCTGTCACCCAGGCTGGAGTGCAGTGACGTGATCTTGGCTCACTGCAACCTCTGCCTCCCAGGTTCACGCCATTCTCCTGCCTCAGCCTCCCAAGTAGCTGGGACTACAGACGCCCGCTACCATGCCCAGCTAATTTTTTATATTTTTAGTAGAGACGGGGTTTCACTGTGTTAGCCAGGATGGTCTCAATCTCCTGACCTCGTGATCCACCCACCTCGGCCTCCTGAAGTGCTGGGGTTATAGGCATAAGCCATTGTGCCTGGTCTGTCATTTCAATTTCTAAGACAGTGTTAGGAGTTCTGTTTACATATCTCCTGCTCTCTATTTGCTCTAGCTCTGCTGGCCTTTTTTGATGTTCTCTGTGGTGGTTATGTATTTACATATACTGTTTTTTCTGTCTAGGATTCTCACAACCATCCTTACCCTTTTTATACCTGTTTATTTCCAGCTC